GAGAGAGAGAGAGAGAGAGAGAGAGAGAGAGAGAGAGAGGCAATGAAAATATACATGTCTCAAACCTACTGCACTCAAGAAAAATAGAAATTTAAAGAATACTGTTATTTGTTTATTTGTACCGGGGATAGAACTCAAGGCCTTGCGCTTGCCAAACAGAAGAATACTGTTATTTGATCAAGAAGTTTGATTCACCCATCATATGATGATGAAGATTTTAAAAAAGCACTCTATTTTTTTTTTGTGTGTGTGTGTGGTATCCGGGGATTGAACTCAGGACCCTATGTTTGCCAGGCAAGTGCTTATTCTACTGAGCTATCTCCATGGCAGTACTCTATTATTGATACAACTGCAAATTGTAATGATTTCCATCCAGGACAATTATTTGGAACCTAATAAAGTATCAAGAAGCCAGGCAGGATGGCACATGTCAATAGTCCCAGCTACTCTGGTGGCTGAGATAGGAGGATCACTTGAGCCCAGGACTTGGAAACCAAACTGGACAACAGAGCAAGATTCTAACTCGAAATAAAACAAAGCAACAAAACTTGAAAAGTATGTACCCACGGGCACATATACTAAAATTGAAAGGTACATACTCTTTGATCTAGCAAATTCTAGGAATCCATCCCAGAGATATACTGTACTTGGACTTGTTCATATACAAAATCGCTTGGCAAAAAGTGCTGTTTTCTATAGCAAAAACAAAACAAAAACATATCCTATACACAATTTAAATACTTTTCAGTAGTTCTAGGGTTCCAGCTTTACAAATAATAGTAAGTCATATAATGTAACCTATGATGTGATTGTAAATAACCAGGTCCCTATGCAACCTTCTCCAAGATACACTGCAAGGTAGAAACAGCAGGATGTACATCAAGTGCAGAATGTGATTCTATTTGTATTTTTAAAGTAGGTAATATTTTATTTATATAAATATAATTTCTATGCAAGGCAGAGATGACAAGAGTTCTGCAGTCAAGGGGATTAAAACTGATGGCTAGAGGCCAGAAAGGTGTCTATCATGATATACCTTTTTGTGACTTCGAATTTTCAACCACATGAATGTGGTTACTGGATTTGTTCAAAATACTGAGTAAGTCATCCTCAATGAAAAATTTCCAGCAGATTATAAACTTTGGCTTCAAGTGTTAAAAATTGGAAATATTAAACACACTGACATTCTAAAAGAGTGTACGAACATGTTGTAGTGGGTTTGTTTGTTTGTTTGTTTTTGGGGTTTTTTTGTATTTTAGGGAAGAGTCTACAGGGTGTTTAGGGTTTCACAACTAGATCGGACTTATAGTGATCTGCCTGTCTACAGCCTCCCAAAAACTGGGATTACAGAGGCGTGCCACTATACCCAGTCTCAATCGCCATCTCAATGTGCCTCCGGAGCTGGGCCAGCATGGTAGGTGTGGGGATCAAACCCCCGGTCCTTGTGCCTGCTTGCAGGTGCTTTAATCCGCTGAGCTATTTAGCCGGTCTGAGTGTAGGAACATAAACAAAAAGCTCAATCACAAATCTGAGCTGGGGAGGCTGGGGAGATGGCTC